AGCGCCGTTTCGATCCGAGCGCTGCCGAGTAGCACATTATCCCTGTGTTTTCCATATGCCCACCATTCATCAGGGCGGCTCAAACTCTGCCATTCCCGGCCAGCCCCAGGCCACCAGAGCTGCTCAGACCCATCCATTAAAAAGGAAGGGGGGAACAATCCATTTATATTCTTCCAAGAGCTTTTTCCTTTTTTTTTTTTTTTCCCCCCTTCCTTTTTAATGGATGGGTCTGAGCAGCTCTGGTGGCCTGGGGCTGGCCGGGAATGGCAGAGTTTGAGCCGCCCTGATGAATGGTGGGCATATGGAAAACACAGGGATAATGTGCTACTCGGCAGCGCTCGGATCGAAACGGCGCTGAGCCCTTTTACGGCGGAGAGTCGCGGAAATGAGAAGAGATAAAATTCCATCAAAGATAATGCCAGACGTATTTCACCGGGTTATGAGATTGGTTTATTGTGTACATTACTAATGCAGTATTTTTTTACAGCTTTCTTGTGTGTAATAGTCAGAGTGGGATTCATACCTTCATGGGTTTTTTGGGTTTTAATTTGCTGGGGGTTTATTGCGTTCCGGGTAGCGCCGTATGGATTCCATACTCCGTGTGCTGCTTGAAGCCAACCCATTCCGTGGTAAAACAGCAAAAAAAAATGGGAAGAGCTGCGAGCTGCTGGTTTGGGATAATAAATACAACGGGCGAGTGAGAGCGATTAGAGCCATCTTTTATAAATGTCTTCACATCTCATTATGCAGATGAGCTCTGGCTACGCGGCTCCAGCCTTTGGTTTGTCAAATAAAATGTTCTTCGTTTTATTTCCCGGGAATGCAAATGTTCTCCCTGTGCTGGAGTTGGGCACAAACTTCAGCGGCGGCGGCTCTGCCGGATGGTGGTGAGCCGGGAGCCTGCGGAGCGTGGTCTGGTTGATGAAATGTTTTTGCTGTTTAAAGTTTAGGGGAGGCAAAAAAAAAAAATACACAACTGTGGATGTGATTAAAATATTATAACCTTATGATATTCTGAAGTGCATAAATTTTACATATCAGCTGCAGAGGGAGTTTAGACATCCATTAAATGATATGACAGCTTGACTTATCTAAATGTGCATCATTTAACAATGTGTCAAAATTCTGCTTTATATAGACGACAGCAGTAAATAAGCTATCAGTCCTCTTGGCTGGAGCTTAATTCCTGGAGCTTGGACTAATAAACTTAACTGCATTCTTGTGGAGCAGCAGGATAACCTCGGGGGGAGGCTGAGGTGCTTCTGGGGAGCTTCACCTCTGCAAATTCTCTGGGTGCCGTGTTTTTAGGGCTTTTAAGGAGAGACTGGTGGGACCTTCTAGATTCCTCCAGCATCTCCAGCACCCAACACTATCTGTCCTCATCCCTACTGGAGGGTGGGATGGTACCTGAGGGAAAGAGAGGGGGAACCCAAGGGAGCTCAGGGTGCCCCCATCTCGGGGGGGTTTTGTTTTTCCAAGCTGAATTCTCAGGGTTTGTGGAAGTGCAGCCTGTGCCTGGGGCTGGCTGAGAAGCCAGGTTGGGAGGTTGAGAATGTGGTTTTGGCTTTCCAGTGGCTCCAGCTGCTCCCAGTGCATTGGGGCGTGGGGAGTGTTGGCTGCAGAATCATCTGGTTTAACCAATTAATAGGAATTTGGGAGCAGTGGCAGTAACAAAGCTGTTCTGGCAGATGCCTGTCTCATGGTTGGGTTGTCTGTGGTCTGATAGTTGAGTGCTCCTCTTGAGTGGTTCCCAATGACCAGGACATTCATGATGGTGCTCTTTATGTGGATTCTCTGCTGTCTCCTGTTGTGGTTGTGCTCTGTAGCCTGTCTGTTGATAGGAACACTGGAGATGTTTCTTTCCCTCACCCAGGAGCTCTGTTTCCTTAGAGATTGATGGTTCTGGGATGTAGCTGATGCTGCAGCATCAGCAAGTTCAAACCTTGGTGGCTGGAGGACTTGTGTGTCTCTGAATTTCACTGTCATTGACCACTTTGATGTCCCCTTCCTCCACCACAGCTCCCTCCTTGGGACAGGCTGAGGTGCAGCATCCATCCCACACCCCCCAAATCCTTCATTAGAAGCGAATGCTTGGTATTTCTACTATTTCCAATTCATATGTGAAGGGAAGAAGGAGAAGAGCTGTGTTTCTGGTCCCACCTGCTGTGGGGTCTGTGTTGAGTGGCGCCAGAAAGTCGGACTGTGGAGTTCCTGAACTGAAATTTGATTTTTTTTTTCTTGTGGCTGAATAATTGAGACACTGCCAGACAAGAAGAGCTGCAGAAAATGAGAGTTTATCTTTAGCTCCACAG